AAAAAAAATTGGCTATAATTTTGTGTTGATTTATTTACTTATTTGTTTTTCCTTTTTATGAAACTAGATTTATAGTATGACTACAAACAAAAATGAGCAGAGGGAGCACAAATTCTTAGCCTTTATATCAGCTTGCAACACCAGTCCTGCTGAACACACATTGCTCCCAGAGACAAAGTCATTAGTCTGAGCTCAGTGGGATCTCAGACCAAGTCTGAGGCCAGTCACTGTCACGTCTCAGGCTAAGTTTTAACAACCACAGTTCAGATCCAGAGTAAGGCAAATCAAGTTGAGCGGAAGTTAAATGTGATTAGAAAAATGCAAAGTCGAAAGAGATCTGAGACATTGCCAAATCAAGTTTCACTCAACTGAAACAAATCTGAGTCGTGTACGAGCAAACTGGAAACTCATCCATCCACATGAGCTCGTTTCTACTCCTTATAAAACCACTTTGTACACCTCCAGTTAAGACAGCATCAGGAAGATGAAAAGGAAACACCCATCAGCTTCGATTACAGAAACACAAACTCAGTGAAAGCAGCATGTGGTCTGAAGTATGCATGAGATACACACATTTCTGTCACCTGTCAACCTTCACAGTGACTCCAGGTAAAGTCTTACTGAGAAGAGAAAAAGTTAACATTAAGTGCTTCAGAGCTGCCGGAGTGTGATCTGAATGTTTTTGTCCAGTCAAATCTCCAAAGAACAAAACAAACTTTGTCTCAGGCTCTGTCAGCTCTGTCAGTGGTTCTGCTGTCAATGCTAACAGCTCTACTCACGGTTGACTGACTGCACTCAGCACAGACAGTTCACGGAAAATAAAAGACTTCCAGGTGGCGCATAGAATCAGGCTTTTAATGTGGAAAACCTCCAGGAAGTGTCGGTTCTGACTGATGGCTGGAAAAACAGGAAGTAAAAACTTTTCTTTTCAAGAGAAACTCAGCATGGTGAGTATGACCAGACTCTGATTGCATTAGAGTGATGAAGGACATTAAACTGGACTTTCCATCAGCACTGATTATTGTCAGCATATGCTCTGGAGACACAGCAGGGACTCCCAGCTCTGCCACTCCTTCACCGAGTGTGCACACCTGATCTGAACTGCTGCCGGTTGGGCTTTAATAATTCAGCCTTCCCCTCCTCCTGACCTCTCCTCCATCTGTGAAGATAAAGCTTGTGTAAAGGGATTACTCATTTCGGCTGGCGCAGGCCCTGCGCCGAGCCTCCCTCGTGACCAAGCTGTTTACCGAGGCCTCCAAAGCTGCCGAGAACGGGAGGTGTGGGTGCAAAAAGCATCACGTCCGAGTCGATCCCACCTAAACATAACTACAGAGGCTTTATCTCCCCCAAGATTCACAAATCACAGGAGGCTATTAACTCACTTTGCTCCTGCGTGACTTCACAGCTTTGTTTTCTTTGTGGTCCAGAGAAATTCTCCATGGCACAACGTGACACTCATTCACTCATCCACTCATCATCCAGCGGTCACCTGTCTCTTGGTGTGCTCGCTGACTTCCCCCGGCATGTCATGGGCACTCTTGATGAGCGTGCGGGCGATGTGGTAGTAGTATACAGAGATGATGGCCAGAGGGATGAGGAAGTAAACCAGGAAGATCATCACTGAGTGGATCTTAGGATGCATCTGATTGGACAGCGGGTAGGGCACGCAGTTCACAAAGGTGACATTTGTGTTGTCCCTGTGACCCTGAGAGGAAACAAGGAGAGGAAATTAGGAAAGGAGAGAGGACAAAGAGGGGGGGGCAGAATGAAAACCAGAAACTCGTTTCCAACAGCATGGACGCAGCAGGTACACAAACTAAATGTTTCCTATGACAGAGGAAACGCAGCATGTTAATATTCTATAAATCGCTCAGAAACAACGATCCTGGTTGTTTTGTGTCACCCTGCGTGAGATTGCCCTAATACGTTTCTTACATCAGCGAGCAGAGACATTTCATCAGCTCTCGTCATCCACCATCCCAGCGTGAAAACACAGCAGATCGATGCCCAGCCTGTGGCCACTGGGGCAAGGGGGGAGTGTGAAGACGTGTTCGGGTAAAGGAGGGGAACATGGACTGTAAAGTGAAACGTTTACCACAGCGTTTTACACTCCAATGACATTGCACATTTCTCTCCAGAGGGTCTGATGCTGAGGCCAGTGCAGAATTTTCTAATACTTGTATTACTAGTACTTCAATAGCTGGGACCACATCCTCAGTAACGATAAGCGATGAAGGCTGAGGAACTATGAACTGGTGCTGCGGTTTGGGGAAGGTCTTGTACTAACGAGAAGTGAAAGAAGGAAAATGAGAAGAGTAGAAGAGAAGGAAAAAGGGGGGGGAGGCATGAATATATATATAGTCTGAGGCCGGAAGAGGCGTGAATGAGGCGTGGTCCCGCTCCTGAAATTGGTGATGATAGGTGGTGGTTCAGGAGCATTCAGACCCGCACTAGCAGACACAGAGATAGTTTCTACCCACAAGCCATCAGGCTTTTGAACTGCTGACATTCTGCACACACTATTACACACTCACTACAACTACTGGACTCTACACACACTGTCACTTTAACCACTTTAAAATCCTCACTGCGCAAGTTTTTTTGCACAAAATGTAAATACCAAATAACTGTCTTAAATTCTCTTAATATTTTATAGTTTTGTATTTTGTTATTTGTTGTTGTAGTTGTAGTTGTTGTTGTCTTGTTGTTTTCTTCTTAATGTAACTGCACACTTTCTATATGTTCATGTAAAGCTGAGGAGAATGAGCCAAAGAATTTCATTACGGGTAAATGTGGCTACACTGTTTATCTGTATACGACAATAAAACTTGAAACTTATAATACTAGTACTGTTTGCAGGAGTTGATGTACGTTATGGTACCTGCATGGAGACAACTTGAGAGAAAATAGCCTCAGGAACAGCCAGCAGGACGGAAAGCAACCAGATAGAAACAGCTTTCAGACACGTCCAGAAGACAGCGCTGGATGTCTGGATGTCCATGGGGTTTACTATGGCCTTATACCTGCAAGGGATGGAGGAAAATGTCAGTAAAACGTTTATGGAATAAAACAACAAGAACATGATAAAACACTTTACATGTACCGAGGTAACAAAACCAGTTAACTTATTTAAAATCTTATGTGAAAGAAAAACATTTACAGCCCAGTTCACAGTTCAAAACGGGCACAAGCTGCTCTTCATTGTGGGCACTGATGAAACATCAGGGTAACAGCAGCAAACTTAAAGTCTTACACTTTCTCCACAAGTAGCTCGCTCCCTCACTGCTCCTCTCCAGTCTTTTCATTCTTCCCATTTTCAGCTACCTGATTCCTCACACCTTCCAAACTCCCCTCATTCCAATGATTCAGTAATTGTCCATGTAATTGTAACATGCCCAGCCATCCAGCTAAGGATATCGCACAAAGTTGATTCTGTTCATCTGGACGTAGCATTTTCAGCGGGAGAAACATTTTGTCTCTCATCCAAGTGACTTCTTCAGTCTCAAGACTGCAGAACACAACATTTTTCAGTCGTTTGTAGATTTATGTTTAGCATCAATAACTTTTAGATTTGTTTTCTGTGTGATTTTCAGTCCATCACATCATTGTGGACGAATTCAAGCTCACTTTTCTGCAGCATTATGTTAAAACACATCTAAACACTCCAGATCAGCAAACTGCAAAAACATTTACAACTGTACTCATGCCTGTTAAGGATCAACTAACCAAATGCATTAACAGGTATTTGCTCCCTCCTTACAGTAAGGGTTTCTTTGTCTACACAGACGACTGAAAACTGTTTTCACATAGCTGTATGTCTCAGTCTCTGCACACAGGGATGAAGAAACATGGAGATTTGCTTTTGTAGTCATAACAGCTAAAATATTCATACTTTAAGGCTTGTTTGAAGGGTGGGAATTTATTTAAATGACTGTAAACATCAACTAAATAATTCAGGGGTTAACTCTGTTTGCTGTGTAGCTGCTGGTTGGAGGAATGATGTCAAATGTTTAAGTTGGTGTTCATTTTATCCAACTTCCACAGGACAATGTGAGACATCTGCAGGCGTTTTCATTGGCTTCTGGTGTCTGACAGCATTATCTCAATCATAATAACATACTCCTGGCTCTCTGTTATCATGTACCTGCTGCAGCTTCGGCGTCCTTTCCTCTCTGATCAGCTGCCAGGTTTTGCCTCCCTGCCTGTTTCTTGACTTTCTCCTGCCCTTTTGCTCCACTCACTTCTGATTCCTGCCACTCTCACACTGACTGAAGCTCATCCACTCACTTTGCCCCTCGGCCATTTCTACCTGTTTGTAAAAGTAGTTTCAACTTCCTATCTGCTGCTGTCATGCATTTGATGACTGCACTGCACGGACAGATTAACATCCCAGTGAAACTGGAAGATAATAATGTGCTCTCACGTTAAGAGAGATGCACCTCATCTGAACAATGGAATGAACTCTTATCAGTCTAAGATGCAAATAATATAATTTGACCTACAGTTCACTTCTAAATATTTACAACCCTCAGATAGATATATTGAGATATAGATATATAGATATATATTAGGGCTGCTCAATTAATC